CTGACTCAAGTATAAGCCGAGGCGGCTTTTTTCAGCCCAAAAAGTGGGCTGAAAAACTAGGCTTATACTTGAATATATACAGTATGTCTTCATGCAGTTATTTGTTTATCAGATGTATGTATGCCTTAGGGAGCTTACTACCTGCTTGCTTCTGCTGCCATATTACATGCCTCAAGGTCAGGCTCTCAGGCCGGGAGTAAAGCAATAGCAGCTAATGCCAGGGTTTGTGGTTGATGACCACACATCATTTAAATGGTGGCTGGCTGCTGAATAACAGCATTTTCTCCCCTTTTTTTGCCTTTAGGAACAGTTAAAAGAAGCCGAGGAAGTATATCAGGCTGGCATCGAGAATTGTCCCGAAAGCTCTGATCTGCATAATAACTATGGGGTCTTTTTAGTCGATACTGGTAAGTAAAAACAAGGCAAAAGAACTACTCTGGACAAATTAAAATGATTGCCCATCGGAGTTGCTAGTCCAGCAATTTATTTCAAGGCTGCTCTGGGAAGATTTCCCCCCCCCCCCTTATTTTCCAAAAGCTCCTCTCCATGTGTCACATTGTATGTGGCATAATTTTTATTATTTACTATTTGTTGTTATTTGCGATGCACATTGAAAAGCTGTTCTTCCTCTCCTAAAACCACATTTCTGGTTCTCCACACTTTCAACTGCCAAGCCCTGATATCAGCTACTCCAAGATGAAGAGCTTTAGCTCCCACTCTGGGCGGCTGCAACAAAGCAAGGGAAGAGGCTGCAGAACCTGAGGTCCGAATGCATCAAGAGTTCAGGTGCAAAGTACTGTACACACACTAGAGCGGAGGTGGTATGCTGCCGGTTCGCACCAGTTTGGGCAAACCAGTAGTGGTGGCAGCGCGAGGCTCCGCCCATCCAACCTCATGTCATCAAGGACCTTCTGCACATGCGTGCGTGCTCCTGCTACAGAACCGGTAGTGCAGAAAATAGAATACCATCTCTGCACCAGAAGCATCCCAGGCTGGATATCTTTGAGGTTACAAGGACTTCAATTCCAAGAATTTTTGTCCATGGCCATGATGGGTTGGGAAATCCTAGGAAAAATCTGTACATCTGGAGGTCATCCAGCCTGTGAGAAGGCTGTTAAGAGCATTGTAGATAGGAGGATCCCACGTTAGATGTTGCTGTTATTACAGGTTCTTCCATTCAAATATTGCTAAGAGTGGAGGCAGACTTTAGTTATTTGCAGAATTATCTTAGATGTGTCTATGCAAGTAAATTCCAGTTCAAGGGGCATACTGGTAAACCTTAATGGAGCCTGCCCATCATCATTGCAAGTTATGATGATCAAAAATCAGGTCGTCCATGTGACTGACCCAATTTGATGGATCTTTCCCCCCCCCAGTGGTTGTTAAAGCACATGTGGGCATTAAATGAAACAACAGTTTGCTATTGTTGCCAAACTTCACCAGAAGTAAATGTTTTCAGCAAAACTGTTACAAAACATGCTTATGTGATCCTGGGATGGGTAACTTCCCCCTCTCCCAAGGGAGGTTTGTTATACCTTTGAATGATTGCTAAGCAACTAGTCATGTTGGAACTACCAGTATTTCCAGGAAAATCTGCACAGGTTCCCAGTCTTACTTGTCCAGCTAAGTGGCAACATCTTAAGCCTGAAAAAGGTTTAATAGCAGTAACTGTGAGAGGGATCTTGGAGTCTTAGTGGAGAACCAATTAAATATGAGCCAACAGTGTGTGGCGGCAGCCAAAAAAGCCAATTGAATCCTAAATTGCAATAACAGAGGGATACAATCAAGATTAAGCCACTCTATAAAATCTTAATAAGACCACATCTAGAATACGGCATCCAGTTTTGGTCACCACACTATAAAAAGATGTGGAGACTCTAGAAAGAGTGCAGAGAAGAGCAAACAAGATGATTAGGGGACTGGAGACTAAAACATATGATGAAGTACTTGGCATGGCTAGTCTAGTGAAGAGAAGGACCAGGGGAGACATGATAGCAGTCTTCCAATACTTGAGGGGCTGCCACAGAGAGGAGGGAGTCAAGCTATTTCCCAAAGCACCCAAAGGCCAGACAAGGAATAATGGATGGAAACTGATCAAGGCGAAATTCATCCTAGAAACAAGGAGAAATGTTCTGACAGTGAGAACAATAAACCAACGGAATAGAAGTTGTGGGAGTTTCATCACTGGAAGCTTTCAAGAAGAGACTGAACTGCCATTTGTCAGAAATGGTGTAGGATCTTCTGCTTGGGCAGGGGGTTGGACTAGCCTGACCTACAAGGCCCCTTCCAACTCTGCTAATCTGTAGTAATAATCTAGTTTGTTTCAGATGATCTTTGAATTGATTTGAGCAGGAGGCAAGATCAATTTGAACATGGCTAGACTTTAATCCATCAGCCAGGGATTACTTACTTTGCTTCAAATAGATACATGGTGACTTTGGAAAGATATTTGGACATTTTAAACCGTGTAAACTAGCAGCCAGCAAATCCCCCCTCCCCTCTTTGCTATGCATCTTAAATTTAAATTGTAGTTATTTTTAACTTGGGTTTTATTTGCATTTCACATGCAGATTGCTCTACTCCGCTGTTCCGGGATATATGTGAATGTGTGACACACACAGTGGGTTGCTGCATAAAATTTATCTTTAAAAGCTGTTTTCTTTCCATTGCTAGCAATCTGTCACTTTTCTCAAGGATGAAATTAATTGTCAACACATTGATTGTTGTTTTTGCTTAACATACGACATCGACAAATTATCCTACTTAATCAGTTCCCACAGCTTGTACTTCTCTCTACTTTCTTATCATGGATTGTTCTGCCTTGTATGTACGGAAAATGTAATAGACCAGCTCCATCTTGTGGAAAAAGAAATATCACATTTGCTATTTGGGTTGGTATTGATTTTAGATCATGCATGTCTCTCTTCCCCTTATTTAATGTTAATGGGATTACTTTATCTGGGCTCAGTGGCTAAGATGCTGAGTTTATCGATTAGAAAGGTAAGCAGTTCAGCGGTTTGAATCCCTAGCGCCGCGTAACGGAGTGAGCTCCCGTTACTTGTCCCAGCTTCTGCCAACCTAGCAGTTCAAAAGTACGTGAAAAATGCAAGTAGAAAAATAAGAACCACCTTTGGTGGGAAGGTAACAGCGTTTAGTCATGCCGGCCACATGACCACAGAGACTTCTTCGGACAGCGCTGGCTTTGAAACAGAGATGAGCACTGCCCCCTAGAGTCAGGAATGACTAGCACATATGTACAAGCGGAACCTTTACCTTTACCTTATCTGGGCTGCCAAAATTCTAGATGACTTACTACTGCCATCTAGTGGTCATCTGGATATTTTACTGTCTCTGTCTGTATGTACAGGGCGGGGCATAACCTTTTCCTAGGGGGTCACAGCAACACTTGTAATAACAACACAAATAATTCATACACCATTCGAAAGCCCATCAAAAACTGAGTTTATTGACACGATTTAATAGTCAGTATGACCACCATTAGCCCTTCGAACAGCATTCAAACGAGGTGGATAAGAACACAACAAATCTTCAAACAGTTCCGTTCGATTTTCCAGATTTTTCAACACAGTTTCCAAATTCATTCTCAAAGTTTCAACCGAATATCGATTTTGACCTTGCTCCTGAATCATCAGAGCTTCCACTTCATCCTTAATTATGGCCCCAATGTTCTCTGCCGGATTGAGATTGAATTTGGAAACTGTGTTGAAAAATCTGGAAAATCGAACGGAACTGTTTGAAGATTTGTTGTGTTCTTATCCACCTCGTTTGAATGCTGTTCGAAGGGCTAATGGTGGTCATACTGACTATTAAATCGTGTCAATAAACTCAGTTTTTGATGGGCTTTCGAATGGTGTATGAATTATTTGTGTTGTTATTACAAGTGTTGCTGTGACCCCCTAGGAAAAGGTTATGCCCCGCCCTGTATGTATGCATTTACATTAATATTAATGCTTTTAATTTTATGCCTGTAAAACTGCTGGAAGCATCTTTTGAGACATATGGCATATATTTTTGAAATTCTGATTAGAACTAATCTTACTTCTGCCATACTTGAGAAAATAATTCCCTTCTCCCTAGCTCTTCAAAAGTAAATTAGGGAACTCATTTATTACTGCAGCCCAGTGAAAAAATTGTTAAATGAATTTGTCCCATTTTTACGGCTTTTCTTGTCACATTTGTTAACCGAATCACTGCAATTGTTAAAATTAGTAACACGGTTGTTAAACAAATCTGGGTTTTCCATTGTCTTTGCTTGTCAAAAGAAAATGAACCCTGAACACTGCAACTGTCATAAACATGAGTCAGCAACTGAATGTAAGTCATCACCATAGGAATGGTGCAATGGTCATAAGTATGAAAAATGATCATAAGTCACTATTTTCAGAGCCTTTGTAACTTCAAACAGTCACTAAATGAACTGTTGTAAGTTGAGAATAACCTGTACTTTTTTAGCTTGCACATTGCAAAGTAACCAACGGTTCGTTGATCCTGGGAGTATTTGTCTGTTTATATTTTTTATAATTGTAGATATGTCTCCCTTTGCATGAACTTGAGCTCTCCTTGAATGTTCTGTATGGCAGGGGTCCCCAACATTTCCAGCTCTCTGAACCAGTGGCATGGAGGTGATGAGGGTGGGAGTGGAGGGGAGATGGTTTTGCCCAGTAACCAGGCTGCAGACTGGGGGTTGTGGACCCCTGTTGTATGGGATTGTCCATCCTGTTTCTGTCAGCATTTGCTGCAGAAATCAAATCTAGAAAGCACCCACGGGTAACTCATGCAGCAGGATTCATTAACTTCTTTATACACATAATAACACATAAGGCATATATACAATACCAATGGCTGGTTCTTCCAATGTGGTAGAGAGGAAAGATTGGCTTCCAGTTTCAGTTCAAAGCTCAGACTAGTTCTTAGCTTTTGCACAGACTCAGAGCTACAGAGCTAAGCCATACCCAGGCTCCAAAGTGTTTCAGCTTCCATTGGCGGACCTTGTTGCTATGCCCTATTCATGAATATACTCTGACAGTTTTCATATGCATTTATTTTTTCCAGATATTTATTAAACTTGTATGTATGCTGATTCCAAATCTCTCTCAAGCAGCTCATAAAATACTTTCAGAGATACTAACTTTGAATGGCCTTGGTCGATCTTGGGTCAGTCACACTTTCTCAGTCCATCCCAGGGTTGTTGTGGTGGAGAAAATATGAAGAGGAAGGTGTGTTGCAGATGTTCACTGCCTTGAGTCATTTGTAAAAATAATAATAATAACGGGATACAAACAAAGAAATAAAAGTTTGAGCAACCCTAACCCAACCTTCTTTTTTCCAGGCTCTCCAGAGACTGCTGTCTCTCACTACCAGAAAGCCATTGAACTCAGCCCCGGTCATCATGTGGCCATGGTGAATCTGGGCAGACTCTACCGCTCCTTGGGGCAAAACAAGGATGCTGAAGTTTGGTACAAGCGGTAAGCATCTGAGCATCCGGTGGTGTTGTGGCCCGCCAGTGGCCAGCAGAGCTGGAAGCAAATTTGGACATTGAGGAGGTTGGGGAGGAACATGGGCCAGTCCTGTGGTCTGGGGAAGGCTCTGATGAGGGCTCTGTGTTGGAGGCAGAGAGGGGGCCAGAGCCGTATGTCAGTTATCAGCTGCCTTCAGCGTCGGAGATCAGTAGGGCAGAAGAAAAGCTGGAGCCTGTTCCCAGTGCGCGCATGCGCAGAGTTGCCAGACGAAGGAAACAGCTAAAGAACAGGGGTTGACTTGGGAGGAAGGCCACAGGTGGATAATGAATTGCCCCTCACAGAGGAAATAAAAGAGCAAAAGGGGAGCAGAGTTTGCAGGAGACAATTAGTTCGCTTAATTGGTTCGTGACTGTCCGAGACTCCTTGCCAAGTTTTGCAGATATCAGCTTGTCAGCTCTCCAAGCCAGATAAGGTCCGTGACTGTAAATCCTCCCTTGAAAGACTTTGTTGGATGTCAATGAGAAGAAGTAAATTAATAAAAGGGTTTTTTGTCGGGACCAGGAGTTTGCTTCATGCTCTCAGAAAGCCTAGGTTAGAACAGGTGGTTCTTGGCAAGGCAACAAGAAATCCTTGGCTTTTAAAAGGGAAATAGCGCTATACTGTATGGTTTTTTTAAAAAGGGTTACGCTATCATTTTATGACCATTTGGCTCTGGATGTTTACTGCTAAGGAAGAATTTGAGTTTTATCTGAATTCCAAGTTATTTTTTTTTAGTAAGGGCTGGGCATAATGGGAGAGGACAGGGTAGAAGAAAAGATGAGGAACTGTTGGAGAACTTTAATGAGGTATTGTACGTAACTTATTTTGTCATTTTATTATTTAGGGCGCTTAAAATAGCACGGAAAGTTGAAATCCTGTCCCCGCTCGGAGCGCTGTACTATAACACAGGCCGATATGTTGATGCATTAAAGGTTTATAGGGAAGCTGCCTCATTGCAGCCATCCAACAAAGAGACTCGGCTGGCTCTGGTGAGTTCACACGGTTCCTCTTCAGGCCTTGCACATTTCTTTTTGCCTGCAAGTGTGAGAACTTGAAATTGGGCTGTATGAGAATAGTGAGTATGAGATTTACATTGAAGCTGCTTTAACCTAAATGGAAGAGGCAGGTAGGCAGAGAGGACACAACTCAGGAATCTTGACAAAAAGATCTTCAGAAGGTAGTTAAGAAAGAACCAGGTCATTGAGGATCAACAGAGAAATATCAGCAGAAGACAAGCTGGCAGGGAAAAAATGCTTTAATAAGCTGGGGTGGAAAAGCTTCTGATGATGGGCAGCTCACAGCTGAGCCACGTGATCGTCAGAAGCTTTTTTTTAACTACCAATTCTCAGAACCAAGGACAATTGTCCATACCGGTTCAGCTGAACCGGGCCGAACCGGGAGGATTTCACCCCTGCCTCCCTAGCTTCGTCACCCCCACAAGGCAGCTTTTTGGCTCCTTTTGGAGCCCACTAACAGGGAGAAGCCAGCATAGGAACAGACAGAGGAACGGACTGCCTTACAGAGGGAGACCAACTGAATATTCCCCAGGATTTTAGGAGGAAGAATTGTTTCCTTTACTTTTTTCCCCCTCTCTTTATAGGCTCAGGTTTTAACAATGATGGGACAAGCAAAGGAAGCAGAGCAAATGTTGAGCCACATTGTGACTGAAGGAGCTGAGTGCCTGGAGTGCTACCGCTTGCTGTCTGCCATCTACAGCAAGCAAGAGAACTACAACAAGGTATAGATACTCCTCTAGTAGTTTAAAAGCTGTCATCTTCCTATATCTAGAGGGCCAACGTTGGAAAAGGCCATGTCAAAATAACTGTTGATTTACAATAGGAGTTTTTAAAACAGTTAGGCCCTTTTAATAATTTAAACAATACAGTCAAAAGATGAACAGAGGTAGATGCCATCATTTCATATTGACTCATCAGTACCTACAGTACATTAACATGGTTGCAAATCAGCCTCAAATATAAGATTTAGTAAGAGCATGAATTAAGCCTATAACGTATGCAAAATAGCAACCAATGATGAGCTTTACGCCCACAGGAGGCACAGATTGACATAAAAACAACCAATGACAAGCCTTATGCCCACGGGAGGCATAGATTGACATAAAAACAACCAATGACAAGCCTTACGCCCACGGGAGGCATAGATTGACTTAAAAATAACCAATGACGAGCCTTACGCCCACGGGAGCCATAGATTGACTTAAAAACAACCAATGACAAGCCTTACGCCCACGGGAGGCATAGATGGACTTAAAAACAACCAATGATGAGCCTTACGCCCACGGGAGGCATAGATTGACATAAAAACAACCAATGACGAGCCTTAAGCCCACAGGAGGCGTAGATTGACATAAAGCTGGTTCTGCATGCATAAGGGAAGCTTTAAACGGTTAATGGCAACAGCCTCAGCAAAACCCAGGAAATGAGAGTTCCTGTGGCATAGTAAAACTTTAGTAGTAAAAGTAAAACTTTAAACGCAGAATTTGGATCCACCTGATGGCCCATAGATAGTAAATGTCTCGTAGTGGCCGAAGAAGGCATTTTATGGCCATGATTTGCTGCTGTTGTTGGATAGGAGTTTTGTTCGTCTACATTTATTGTGTCTGTCTGTCTGTGCAGGCACTTGAAGCCATAGACAAAGCTTTACAATTGAAACCAAAGGACCCCAAAATCATATCAGAGCTCTTTTTCACCAAAGGAAACCAGCTAAGAGAACAAAACCACCTGGACAAAGCTTTTGAGGTACTCACTTATATATGAATGCATGGATTGCCTGTCTCATTAAACCCAAGTGAAGCTCTTCAGGTTGCTTATTTGAACACACGCATTGGAGGATCCTAGAGCAACAAGGCTGCCGTAGGAGAAATCTATTTGGATGAATGTATAGTTAGATAGATGCGGTGGCTAAGACGCTGAGCTTGTCGATCAGAAAGGTTGGCAGTTTGGCGGTTCGAATCCCTAGCACCGTAAAGGAGTGAGCTCCCGTTACATGTCCCAGCGTCTGCCAACCTAGCAGTTCGAAAGCATGTAAAAAATGCAAGTAGAAAAATAGGGACCACCTTTGGTGGGAAGGTAACAGCGTCTCGTGCGCCTTCGGCATCTAGTCATGCTGGCCACATGACCACAGAGATGTCTTCGGACAGTGTTGGCTCTTTGACTTTGAAACAGAGATGAGCATTGCTCCCTAGACTCAGGAACGACCAGCACTTTATAGCTTGAGAGCAAAAGGATATTTTCCAGAGAAACTTAATCTATTTTGCACCTTAAAATTTAATAGGCAACAATATGCTTATTTCCAGGGATTATGATCAACTTTTGCTATGTTGCCAAAGTTCCCAGCTTCTTAATTTGGAACAGCAGTTTCTGCGATTCATAATACTCAGCTCATATCCAAGAGTTCATCTCCATCTGAACTGTATTCCTTTTACTTTCCCTCTCATTAGAATATTTTCATTAGCTGGCTCTCTCCAACATACCAGCTCTAGTTTCCCCTTTTACCCCCCCCCCTCAATTTTTTTAAAACAGAGAATAGTCTTTCAAATTCTTAGACATATTGATTGTTCTAAGAAAACTACAGTTATTACAGTGGTAGGATTCAATTTTTTTTACTACAGGTTCTGTGGGCGTGGCTTGGCGTGATTTGGTGGGTGTGGCTTGGTGGACATGGCTTGGTGGGCCTAGCAGGAGAAGGATACTGTAAAATCACCATTCCCTCCCCACTTCAGGGGAAGGATACTGCAAAATCCACATTCCCTCCCAATCAGCTGGGACTCGGGAGGCAGAGAATAGATGGGGGCAGGGCCAGTCAGAGGTGATATTTACGTGTTCTCCGAACTACTAAAACTTTCTGCTACGGGTTTTCCAGAACTGGTCAGAACCTGCTGAATACCACCTCTGAGTTATTGGGAAACGTGTCATTAACATCCTATCCTGTCCGTCTCAATTTGGGGCTCCCATTTATGGTTAGGCTACAATCCCCAACCTTCTTCATTCAGAAAATTAGTAGCTTATCTAAGAACCCAAGTGTGGGGAAAGCTATTCCTTGTGTGCATTAACATCTCCACAATATAGATTCAGGTCTCCTAATGTTGAGTTTTCATTTTCATGTTAATGTAGAGCTATAAAGTGTCTGTAGACTTCAATCCAGAGCAAGCACAAGCATGGATGAATATGGGAGGCATCGAACATATCAAGGTAAGAAAATAGCAGAAATTATTTGTGTGTTTGTTATTAAAATATTTTTATTTTAATAAAATATGAGTCATCTGTGTGATTGATAATCCTTTGGTACATAATGTGCGGACACCGGATCATGTTGGATTGCATGATGTTGGATTATCTAGGTCGCCTAAGTCTCCTTAAAACAATATTTATTGTTCAATATTTAATTAAATAGTAAATATCAAAAGTTCTTTACTTTGTCCAATTAAAAGCATTACAAGCTACAGTAGACTTCCCAAGTAGGGTTGTTTTTTTCTAGTTTAATTGGAGCTGCAACAAAATGTATCTGGAGGGTGCTTTTAACTTAAACATCTTGTTATTTTAAGTTATTACTTAGAGAAGCACAGGAAACTGTTGACTCTCCAGATAACCATTGAACCAATGGTTATCTCAGCCTCAGTCAACATGGACAAGGAATGAGCATAGTGTGAGTCCAGCTAAATACTACCACAGATGAGCTCTGTGGAAACTTCCCCCAAAATGTAGCTGCTCAGCTTGGATGCTGCCTTAGTACTAACCTTAGCTTGGGTTATCTCTAAAGCTGGCCTGACTGAGGCCATCTTGGAGGCTTCAGTGTTGCCACAATGGTTCTGAGGGATAGGCGAGGGAATAGAGATACCCCCCCCCCAAAAAAAATAGTTTCCCCTGAGAACCAAGGACATTCCCACAGGTGGCTGAAAAGAGGAGGAGTGAAGTTTCCAAGCAACTGGATAGCACCTTGATTGGACCATGTGATTGTTTGGGAAGGGGGGGGGGGAAACCTTACTTTTAATTATGTGAAAACCCCGGCAACCTTTAGAGCCAGTTTTCACCAGCCTATGCCAATATGATATATCCAATAAACTTGTTCTTTGAGGAACCTGCTTGCCTCGGAGTTCTGTTTGCAATGGGTGTATTACTTGGAACCCTGACACTAACCTTATCATGGGTCATCTCCTTTACACCTTCCTATTAGGCACAACACAGGGTTTCTGACTGCATCAGTAGCTGTTAAGCAGTTTTGTGAGAGGGTTAGTTCCCAAATAAACTAGGTGTCAGCGTTCCAAATATCATGCAGAATTAAATCAGAGTCCAAGGCAAAACTATTCTTAAAGTTCCAATTTAATAAGTCAGACATGTTGGCACATCTGTGGAAAATCACAAATCTAAAGCTTCCTGAGATTCCACCCAGTTGAAAGTTCATGATCTTATCCCCACACCCATAAATCCATCACATGGTCCAATCTTCTTCAGTCACTCTGGCATTTCCACCCATCTAGTTCCGGTCAGATGCAGAGGTGCAGAGACAAAAGATGACCTTGGGCTTCTAGAAAAGAATGACAACAACACATTGCACAGTTCTACTCCTTTCTATTCCCCCCTCCCAACTACTACACTAATGAAACAGCATAGGGAAATAATAGAGAGAGTGGCAGGCCAAAAATCCTAAAAGGAGTAGAACTGCATGCCTGACACTAGGGCTTTAACAAGAGAAGATTCACAAACGTTTAGCTTTGTTCTTTTCTCTATAGGCAAGAATGGGACACAAGGTCTTCAGACAGCTGGGTCTGAGTAAAAGTCATAGATGAGGACAGCAGTAGCTGTGATTGGCCATAGTAGCAGCAGTGAACGAAATATGGGCGAAACTTCCCAAATGCACTAGAACCTCTGGTCACGGACCATAATTCATTCCAAACTTCAGTCTCAACCCGACTTGGTCAAGACCAGAACCTAACCAAAATTAATGCAGTGGCCACATGAGGTCGCTGTTGTTTGGCGCTTACAAAAAAAAATAGCGCAGGACGGGAAGTTGGCCGCGGCCGTGTTTGATCGCCGTCCGAGTATGTGTTCGTGACCAGATTCAAAAATTTTGTGAATTTTTTGGTCGGAACCCGATTTAGTTGTGGTCAGAAGCATTCATGACCAGAGGTTCTATTGTATGGGAAGAACCCCCTCCCCCTCCACAGCTGGATGAATTTGAGATTTTATCTGTTTGGTATGATAAAGATTCCTATGTAGTAGGATCCAATCTGGATCAGTCATTGGGACCAGAGGTTTAGTTTTCTGGGCTTTCGGATTCATGCTGGAGCCCATTCATAGGGAATTTCTCTCTCACCAGAATGTGGGACTAAAGACTAGACCTCTGGTTCCGGTGACTGACCCCGATTGGATCCTGCAACATCATCCTGGGAAATGTACATTTGCCTTCATCCCTATGTAGCTTTGATACTTATTCCTTTTGTCTGTGCCAGTGTATATTCATGAACTGGAAGAGGGCTTAGTAACAAAATCAACCAATGGGAGCTGAAACAGTTTGGAGCCTGGGCGTAGCTTAGCTCTGCAGCTCTGAGTCTGCTGAGCTCAAAACTAGTTTGCTGCTAAAAACTGAAACTGAAACTGTTCTCTCCTCTGCCTGTGTTTGCTTGTATTCTCTACCACATTGGAAAAACTGCTTTTGGCATTGTATCTTTACTTCATGCGTTATATTATATATAAAGAGAAGTTAATTAATCCCTCTGAATCAGTTACCTCTGTGCTTTCTGGATATGATTGCTGCAACAAACTCTGACAGTCTGGTCTGTGCATCATATCTCAATTAATAGAGAAATTAATTTTATCTTACACGGCTGTTGTGAAAAGGGAGTGGGAAAGAGAATCATATCTGAGCACTTTCAAGGAAGAAAAGAATGAGGTCTTTTAAAAGTAAATCCTCAACTTATAACAGTTCACTTAGTGACTGTTCAAAGTTATGCTGACACTGAAAAAAGTGACTTACGGCTGTTTTTCACGCTTACTATCACTGCAGCATCACTGGGGTCATGTGATCAAAATTCAGACCCTTGGACACTGATTCATATTTATGACGGTTGCCGTGCCCCGGGGTCACATGATCAGCTTTTGTGACCTTCTGACAAGCAATGTCCACGGGGAAGGCAGATTCACTCAACAACCAGTTACTAACTTAACTTCTCCGGTGACTCACTTAGCAACCTTGGCAAGAAAGGTCGTTAAAATGGGGCAAAAGTCACTTAACAAATGTCTCACTTGGCAACATAAATTTTGGTCGTAAGTCGAGGAATCCCTGTACTGCAAAAACAAGCATCCATGATGACACGAAGCTTGCAGAATTTTGATATGTGAATGAAAACTGTAGGTCCTGCCTGTGAAGTTATAAAAAAATGTTTTTTAATTCCCACCCATCCCTCTTGTTTCACATTCTTATTTATTTTTTGCAGGGTAACTATTTCACTGCGCGCCACTACTACGAGAAAGCTTTACAGCTGGTTCCCAACAGCAAACTGCTGAAAGAAAATTTGGCAAAACTGGATCGCCTCGAGAGACGGCTGCAGGAAGGGCGGGGAAGAGGGTAGCAGGACTGGCAAGGCAAATCACCCGCCTCTCGGTGAATGACTGCATGTTGTGGAAGCCCCAAGTTTCCCTCAAGACAAAAGCAAACGGAACGGAGTTACGGGGCAGCGGGGACCCCCAAATAGGAGGAGTCTGCGTAGGGATCGCAGAAGAGTCGCCAAAGCTTCAGGAGTCCTCCTGGAAGTGTTATAGGAGAGGTGAAATCCTAACCTTAATCCAGAGAGGATGCTTCAAAAATGGGCTAAAATTAAATGCATTGCTGGGATGATTGTTGGAAGGCAGGCAAGGAGTTGTTTTAACAAAAATCAGAGGGAGCATTATTGCAAGAAAAATGCTCTTGAAACCTGGTGCCTGGTTAGCCAAGAATAAAGCTGCATCAGTCAGTGAGGAAGTGAGAGAAGAGACAGGGACAGCTGTCAAGGAGGGAAATGCCACTCACCTGAGGCAAAATCTCGGTAATAAATCTTGAAGAAGAATTGACTGTTATCTCAATGAAAGCGATGTAGCTCATTCTCCTCTAAACACAGATCCTGAGAATGATTTCGGGGGGGGGGGACACATTCTATGAAACATTTGTGACAATTTTCATTCATGTTATCATAGCATTAATAGGAATGGAGATTTGCCAACATGATTAATGAAAATGTGATTAACAAAAAGAGCTTAAAAACAAAAAGATGAATGGATTTGGGAATATTAAGGGGTCAGAGTTGTTCAGAAGTGCTGTTTCCCCCAAAAGATTCTCTTCATGGTTGCAGTGGATTCCATTTGCAAATATCTCTGATCCTATGCGATCTCAGAGGATGATTTAAGAGGATCTGCAGTGTTGATTGTCAGGAATTGGTAGAAGGCACTGCTGCGTGAAGGAAGCGCCTCAGAATGCCTTCCAGAACTTCCTTGAATGATGCCTTTGAATCTTGGCTAAGAAGACACCTGATATAGCTATATCTTGCTGGGTCCAAAGCTTTTGGACTTGCTAATGTTTTGAGACTTGGGAAATGAATAATTTCTGAGGCATTTTTTCCCCCTAATGCAACTTCTAGAAGTTTCGCTTCCTTTTTTTTTCCTCTTCTCAAATGAGGAAAAAAAAATCAGGATTATTAAATATGACAGAAAAGAAGACAACTTCGAGGTGGCGCAGTGGTTAAATGCAGCACTGCAGGCTACTTCAGCTGACTGCAGTTCAGCAGTTCGGCTGTTCAAATCTCACCGGCTCAGGGTTGATTCAGCCTTCCATCCTTCTGAGGTGGGTAAAATGAGGACCCGGATTGTTTTGGGGGGCAATATGCTGACTCTGTAAACCGCTTAGAGAGGGCTGAAAGCCCTATGAAGCGGTATATAAAGTCTAAGTGCTATTGCTATTGCTAACTCATGTCACAGATAGCGTTTATTTCTGAATATTTATTTGGCATAACCAAAAAAAAAAATTGAGTTTCTTGTTTTTCCGGCGTTAGATGGCTTGTATCTGTGGTTGTTATTTTGATGAAGCCAAATATGATAGAACTTCTAGGGATGGGGATGATACTCTAAGACAGGGGTGTCAAACTAGATTTCATTGAGGGCCACATCAGGGTTGTGTTTGACCTCAGGGGACTGGAGTGGGAGTGACTGAGATGGGCATGGCCAGCTCGATGTCAATCATGTTGGGGGCATCTCTGGTGGCCTGGAGTGCTCTGCCAGGGAAAATGGGCTCCCGAGCTCTATTTTTGGCTGCGACCGCCTCCTGCAACCCCATGCAAGCAAAAACAGAGCTTGGGAAGGCTCTGTTTTTTCTGGCAGAGGGTTGCAGGAGGCCGTCACAGCCAAAAACGGAGCTCGGGAGCCTGTTTTCGCTGGCAGAAGCACTGTGGGCCGATCCTTTGCTATTCCCAGGGTGGCCCTGCGGGGCAGATCTAAGCATCCTGAGAGCCAAATCCGGCCTCCGGGCCTTGAGTTTGACCCCCCTGCTCTAAGGGTAGTAGGTGCCTCTGAGTAGGATTTGAAAATATTCTCCCTAGGAGAAGGAATGTGGACCTACCTACCATGGGATTGAATTAGAAATAGAATTATGGAGCTGAAAGGGATCTTACAGGTCTTCTAGTCCAACCCACTGCCCAAGGCAGGGGGGTCCTTATTCCATCCTGGACAAATGGTTGTCTAGTCTTTTCTTTAAATCCTCCAGCAATGGGTCACCTTCAATTCCAGGAGGCAAGCTGTTCCATTGACTAAGTTGTTCTCAATGTTAAGAAATGTCTTCTTAGTTTCGTGATGGCAAACCTATGACATGCGGTGGCATGCGAAGCCATTTGTTAGGGCTTGCGAGGCATTGCCCTGTCCGCTCCAGTGCCACCTGCGCACTGGCCAGCTGACTTCGCCCTTCTTTTTCGGCCATTTTTTGCCCTCCGGAGGCTTCCACTCTGGAGGGTGAAAAACAACCCAATGCGCAAACCAGAAGTTCGGGAACGGAATAGTGGGCATAGCATTATGGGTCTGGGCACACCCGCGTATGACTCCCCTGTACTCCCTCCCGCTTTTGTCACATGATGGGGAAAAGGTTAGCTATCAGTGGCTTAGTTGGATAGCAGCTTTTGTATCTGTTTGGTTGAGTTCTTAAGGGTAAGCTCTGCTAACACAAATCAGCCTTGGGCTCAGGCCTACTGTAATGTAAATGGATGGGGATCATGGCGATAAATTAAAAAAAACCCTGAGCCATTGTGCCTTGGAAAAGCAGTAGTAATCCCATGATGGCTGCAATAGTACATTGGATAATATACTAATAACATCTCCAGCTTGGTAATCCAGTTTGATTCTGTCTCTCCTTAGTCTTGGATCTATTGTTTGGACTTGCCTTACCACATTCACTGATGGGAGCTGTCAAGCAGGAGGGAAGATAGTCCATCATTTCCAAAAATGTGGGGAAGAGTAAATGTTCCTAACCATTTAGCTCAGGGATTGGCAACCTTAAACACTCATGGAGCCATCCTAACCGGAAGACCCCTGTTCAGTTCTGGAGCCAACCAGAAGTCACCTCCTAGCGTGGTGTCCTTTTTCCTCTACCTGTCCTAACCAAAAGCCCTATCAATTGTGGAGCTGACCAGAAAACCCGCCCCTTTCCATAGAGTCTCCTCCTGGAGCGCTGTGCTTTCCCCCCTTCCCAACCAGAAGCTCCTCTCTAAATTATGGTGCTGACTGGCGACAGGGAGCCACAGCAGAGGGATGAAAGAACCACATGCGGCTCCAGAGCCACGGGTGGCTGACCCCTGATTTAGGCTAGACTGGGGTCTCCAAACCTGGCAATTTTAAGACTTGTGGACTTCAACTGCCAGAATTCCTCAGCCAGCCATAAAGTTCCAGGTTTGGAGGTCCCTGAGCAAGACAATAACTATCCATTACAAATAGTTTGGCATCTAGCTAGAGCGATTTATCTGCTGTTGCTACAGAAGATCAATTTGGGGAAACTTGATGTAAACATCGAATGGTCACAAAGAAGCAGGTCTAAAGTCTTCGCTTTAGTGGAGCAGTTGCCCATTTGCAGAAGCCCTTTTGGTTTCTTTTTATAAACATCCCACGTTTTCCTATTTGTTCTTATTTGTTAGTTTATTGCACAGCATCCATTAACAAGGGAAAGGCATAACAGCTCTGCAGCATGTTTTACATAGTAGAATTCAAATCATCTATAGGTGTTATTCGAATTACAACCATTTGTTCAGGAAGTTACAATGGCACTGAAAAAAGTGACTTATGACTGTTTTTCACACTTATGACCAGTATAGCATCCCCACAGTCACACGTTCAAAATTCAGATGATTGGCAACTGGTTCATATTTAGGACAGTTGCAGAGTCCCGGGGTCATGTGATCACCTTCCCCAGTCACTGGGGAAGCCAGATTCACTTAACAATCGTGTTACTAACTTAACAACAGTAGTGATTCACTGAACAACTGGGGCCATAAAGGTCGTAAAATCGGGCAAAACTCATTTAACAACTGTCTCACTTAATTTTGCACTCAATTACAGTCAAAAGTACAAATTTTGTACTCAATTGCGGTCATAAGTCAAAAACTACCTGTTATCTGGAAACTAGAGAATTATTATTTTTTAAACACATAGCATATATAATTCTGAGATTGCATGGAAGGGTCTTTGATTCAAGTCCCATTTCTTCTTTGGACTTGGGCAGGTGATGAAGAGAGTGAATGCCTATCTGTGAAATGGCATGATAGATATTTATATTAAGATGATGGGAAGTTAAGATTTTAAATGCTGAATAAGGCAATGAAGCATCGAATGACAGAGTAACAGATCTGACTATACAAGTGGCACTTTCTAGATAATAAGCTCTTGTTATCATCCTGAACTTTCAAGGAGTTGGTAATACAGAAATCTGAGGCTTTTAGCCATTAAATGTGGGCCCTCAACAGCTCTGCAAGCAATAAATCAAAATTTATTAGCCAGCTGTAGATTATTATTTTTTAAAATCTTTTTTCCTGATGGATCAACATGGCTGTGATTCAGGGCTTTTTGGAAAAATGTAAGCCCATCGAGAATAAATATTTACACTAAAACCATTGTGCCAAATATATTATAATCTACCAGGACGAAGTTTTTAGCATACCCAATTGATGCGTTTAGAGGAACATGAAGCAGGCTGAAGTCCACATCTAGAGATCATCTGGTTTGGGAAAGCTATCATAAATAAGCACATTTTAATCTTGTACCCACCAGTGTGTTCAGATTTGCACAGCTATGAATATTTCACATACTATTTCCTCATGAATAAATGTATGAAGGATGCCTCAACTGTTTCATCCATAAATATTTCCATCTTTGTTGAAAACAGCGTGCTCAGGGTCAGGTTTTATTAATGTCATAGACCATGATTTCCCTTCGCTTCTCAGTTCAATGAAACTGACATAATTTGTCTAAGGGAGGTTCAACTCTTGTCAATTTCATCAATGCTGAAGAAATTCTCTACTAATCCTGACTTGAAGAGAAAACTGGGAATTTCTGATTTTTCCCCCCTTCCAAAGAATATATATACATAACCAGATTTACTTGTTAGTTTTAATGAAGAATAGCAATGAAAATGGTGCAGGAGAGTGGAGTTATATCTGCATCGAGTTGCAAATCTGTAGAGCAGCAAGAAATAGGAGATTATTCTCCTCTGCACAAGCTGGAGGAGCTGTGGTGTCATTTATAAGAAGAAAAATCTCATTTGTGAATGTTGAAATGTGCATCAGCTGAAATGAAGGAACACTCTGAAATCATAGATTTGTTTTAAATGCTTTAAACGCATGTGTTTTTGACCTTAGGCATAAATGAGATATACTGAAAAACAATGCAACAAATTATTTATAACCTTTCAAGGGAAATTGATCACAGCCAATTGAGCTGAAAATGCTCCTTAGTCCATTAGAGAATATCACAAATTGGGACTGACTGAATCTCAAGCATTGATATATGATATGGTAAAAATATCTTACAAACTTAATGGCAACATAAATTTGTAAATCTGGCTACATGTGATCATTTAGGATTATTTATATCATCTTTATGGATCTAAAAATGCAGGTGCTGAAATTTACCGCTTATTTTTCGCAATCTAATGAAGAACATGTATACATTCTGGAAAATTAGCCTTTGAACTGAGATGATAACCAATTATCTAACAATGACAGTGGTTGAAATACTATCATATTTAAGTAGAGTTGACATTTTTTCTTACTAAGAAACTATTTCTTCAAGTATTTACAGATTTATATTTGCTGGGCATTCAAGGAAGCAATGGGGAACGAAGTCACAATGAGTGGATAGATAAATCAGGCTGGCTGATTTATTGGGTGGATTTGAACACGGGGGCATTCTTTTCCCATTTTTGATTTCTATATGTTTGAACTGAAATGCACTCAGGAGGAATGGGTCATGACTGAAAACTCTTCATGGTTGCCTATATCAGCCATCCGGCCTTCATTTTTAATAAATTTTAAATTTGAGGACCAAAAAGCACTTCAATTCCAGCTTGCTCAGGACTGGTTCAATTATTATCATTATTATTACTTTAACTCCTGTCCTTGAAAGTGGGCTGCATTTCAAGCCATGTTTTTCCCCCCAGACAGCATCTAAAATTTGAGTTTAGAAAAGAA